CACGTTATTAGGCGGTACCGGTGCTTGGCCAGACGTTTATGGTTGGTTCCATCATTCATGGTTTGAGTTACTCAAGTCTCAAACCATGGACCAACCATAAATGAGTATGAATTTTCAGATTCACGCTCTGATCGGCAACAGATAATGAGTATCTCAATCTTTTGCCACAGTAATCGCTCCCCTAGACGAACAAGCTCTTCTTGCTCGACTCTCGATCCCAGGTCGAACTCAGGCTGAAGGTGCATTTACAGAGTACGTCAGTGTGCGGTATACCTTCACAGCGAGCTTTCTGGTCCCATTCATACCTTGACCGATCCACCGATTATCCGAGATTGCACGTGGCGCGCACCATCCTTCACCCATCCGCGATTTAAGTGTCTTCGACACTCGGCTATATCTGGCTAGTATGTAGTATATTTTTCTCGAGCGTCGCATACCCACCACATCTCTACAATGCTGAAGGTTTTGGATTATATATGACCGGGGCGTCGTCTCCCCCTTTCTGTCACTGGGTCCGACTCAGAACCAAATTCCCCTTGTCCTCAGTCCGATAAATTATTCTATTTTATGGCACTACCTCGAGTGTATGGATATAGGAATCCCGCTTTCGCTCTCAATCCCCCACAATCTCCGTTTGCCCAGTCTGCTCATTATGACTGTTAAAAACCCCAAGGGGTTCATTACCTTGATCACTAATTCCCCAACACTCCATACTTCAGCTGGCTGCCTCGGGAGGGAGAAAAAAAGAAAAAGAAATGGGCAATACGATATCCTGTATGCAATGCTCCTGCTGCATACAGACAGGATCGGCGCTGGCGTCGGACCCGACTCGTGAAAGTGGAACAGAAAACCCAAGCGATCTCCTTGCCCCTGGACCTCGTTCTTCTTATCCGGCAGGATGCTCAGCATTTCGCGCCCAAATGACCAGGGATTCTCAAGACGATGTTGATTCGACGGTGCCTGCACCGCTACTACCACTGGGAGAAAAGAAATTGACAGGGCCATCTGAACGTGATGAACGTGAGCCAGAGTCGATGTCGGAGCCGGGGACGGAAGCTCCAGTACAGGTGAGCCCTCAGATTACGGGCCTGAAATATTCACATTTGTTTCACTCACTACTTATGGCAAGATCGACACGCCATCCCATGGCACTGAAGGAAACTCGAAGATAACTCCTCAGGTCGCCGTCACCATCACGGAGAACCGCAACCATAACGGGGATAACTTCAGCGCCAGCTCTGTGGGGCAGACAACGAGAGATACGTTCAACTACGGTCAGGGTACTATGCCAGGTCGGTACCAAAATGATTTTGCTCGTGAAACCATGCTGACTCGACTTTGACCTTCGTAGCAGTCGCCTTCAGTGGGCTGGGGCGCCGAGGTTCCTTCTCGTCGCTTCCTTAGTGACCACGATCTACGAACCTCGAGTGCTCAACCTTTCTGATTTTGCCTCCAATGACCATTCTCCAGGTACCAGCTCTCACCTCTTCCCGTATTTCTACACTCACTATCGGTCACTCCATTCCCAGTTCCGTGTTTTGTATATTCGTCACTCTTTTCGAGGCTCTCCATCGACGGGGGAGTGAGCTCAAACCACCGATCATTATCTTCGCGTTCTCCAGTGGAACTATAACGCCACATTCTTTACTTCTTAATCACAACCGGTCATTTTCCCACGACGTTCGTTCATTGGAATCACTCGTTACACTAAGACAGCATTCGCATTCCTCTTGTTTGTTTGATATAGGGTCAACTACCATCGGATACATAGATACATCGTGTTTTGGAGTCTGTCGTTATTGCTATTATACTTGTCATGCTCCGAACACCGCGTTTGAACTCGCAGTTCTAGTATGTAAGGACCACGGCCAAACTTGTCGAGCCCTGCCAGCCGCTCCAACTTTCTTTCCTTGTAGACACTCTCCTTTGATAGCGAAGCCTTGGTCTGTCATGCTTTCAGGGTTTTGGCTTCGTCGCACATATTAAAAAACATGGTTTCGGAGTGGAGAGAGGAGTCGGACCATCAATACTCTAATCATACCAAAGTCGACGTCCGGGACATTCCCGAGGATCAACTAGCTTCCGCAGCATCTCAAACCACCGATCATTATCTTCGCGTTCTCCAGTGGAACTAAAACGCCACATTCCTTACTTCTTAATCATAACCGGTCATTTTCCCCACCAGGTTCGTTTATTTCAGAGTTTTGCCTTCGTCGCGCGTATGGGAAAAAAAAAAAAACATGGTCTCGGAGTGGAGGGAGGACTAGAGAGAAAAACAAACCTCAGTCAGTAGAAAACAGGCGAGGATATGAGTTGGTTTCTACTGTACGATGTAGCTAGAATATCGTAAAGACGCAGAAGCTACACGGCCTACATACGAAAGGAATCAGACACGTGCAATATACAGAGCCGGCCATCGATACTCTAATCATACCAAGGTCGACGTCCGGGACATTCCCGAGGGTATTAACTAGCTTCCGCAGCTGCACCACAGGATAGTGCATAATGTTTCGGGAAGGTCTACTTATGAAGGAGGGGGACTAATGACAGTCTCGCGTATCGTCAAGGGAAAAGCATCATCGGCCTCGATCCACTCACTCTTCTCTCTCCTTAGGTCTCATAACCGGAGGGGAGCAAAAGATATCTAATATATAGATCAAAAGGAGTAGACCATCGACGCCGCACAGGAGCTGGTCCTAAGTATATTCGTCGACTAGCAGCATCTTGATATTGGTAATATTCATTCGGATAAATGGGATTGAAGACCAAGCAGTAGGGAAAAGTGAAGAGCGTCTAGGTGCGTGAACGAATTCGACCCGAGCGTCGATGAAATTACTCGCCTGCACGTATGGGGTCGGAGACAAGGTTTTCTTCCAGCAGCCTCTTTGATGTCAAAGTCCAGAAACTCCAGCTCGACTTGACTCCTTCCGGGGTGGTTGGGACGAACGCTTGTCGACGCGACGACAGGTGACCGTCACGATAAAATGAAACCACAGGGATTTTGACTTTGAGAGATGAACGATTGTTTGAAGGCGTGGAACTGGGGACAAAGACCTCAAGATGATGTTTGTTACTGGTTGTGCTCGAGGAACGCTTATGATCCGTCTATCATGATACTCGAAGGTTCCTACTGTTGGCCGCTAGAAGAAACTGGTGTTGAGTATTTCGGCGTTTGGCAGATACTCAGAACAATCACCGATGCGAGCTTACCTATGTACTTCATCATGAAACAGAGGTCCTTTCATTAGCGATATGCAACGAGCATTGAGAAGAGAACTGGTGTTAATCGAGGTCTTGTCGGCGACGAGCAGAAGAACGAGCGAAATACTAGTATATAATGGAAGCTTTCACTCCGATCAACTCGTCACTGGGAAGCGCAGAGGGGTAGTGCCATAGGCCTCCAACGAATAGACTACTTTGCCCGAGGAAATGCCTTGAATGTTGAGCATTGAAGTTGGGTTTGCTCTCCTAAGCCTAGATGCGATTGAGTACCAGCTAGATACATCCCCAATTCGACCGCGACAAACTCAATCACTCAGTCGAGTGTTCAATTGTTTAGTGTCCGTTCGAGAGTGAGTGTCGTCGATGGAGGTTTTGGGCCTGTTGGATGCTTCAGACATTTCTCGAATAGATGTATGTATGTTGTGGATAGACTCGGAGAGTACGAGGTTTGAGGGAAGAGACAAGTACGCCAGTTTTCAAAAAAAGCGAGGCCGTTGGCAATAGGTCGGTGGGATAAACGGCTAATATGTGGTCGAGGGGCTCTCAGTGCCCTTCTGTGACTGTCGGGCAAACAAATCAAGTTTGTCAGTTACACGACGAGCCGCATCTTTTACCAACTATATTGGGAGGTCGTTGCGTTAGAGAAGTGATGCAGGGGAGGAGAGGACAAGATCCGTCGAGTTTGTTTTGTCTGGCAGTGGGAGAGCAAAGAAGCACTGGCAGGCGGCGAGCTGTCAGCGAGATTTGATGACGTTATCCAGTTGGCTCCCACCGCCTTGTGTTCCTCTCCAACCACAACACGCCCTCTCCCCACGGTCACTTCGTCTTCGACAATACGCACCCACAGATCTGTCACTCTGACAATAACGATCGGGCTCTCGACGTTGGTACGAAAGCATTCGAAGACCAGTCGACCAAGGTCGATGCGCACAAGACACTCAAAACAACAAAACAGCCCCCACGTAGACATGTTCCAACGACGGTTCTCCCATCCCTTCATTCCCATTCACCGATATCAACCAAACGACACATAACCTCTGTGAGCTAGGGCATGTGTCCAGTAAAGCACCCAAGTCAATGTCGAATGGCCAAGCCGCAGATTTCCAAAGTCGACTCTTGTTCGACGTGTTGGGGATTGCGTTAGGTGGGGTCATTGGGCTCGTTTTGCTTGGGCTGGGGGTATGGTTTTTTATGAAGCGGTGGAAGAGGAATCGGAGGGAAGGTGTTATGGATTCCCCTTGGTATGGTGGTGCTGGGCATACGTACGCGGCTGTGACGCCTTTCGTTCCAGAAGACGAGCACAGACCATATGTGAATCCTGGACTACAACAGCTACGGGGGCCGGGGCTGGGGTAGTAGGAGGGAGAACAAGCACGTTGTATCCGCCGGAGAAACAACGATACTCGAACATGTCCACTTCCTCATCCGCTCCTCTTCTCGGCGGTGCATCTGGGTCGGGATCTGGGAGTAGACCACAACACTCACGACACAATCAATCCCAATCAGGTTCCGTCGTTACCCTCTCCCCACCCGATGTCGAATCTGCATCCCATTACTCGTATTTCGACCCGTATGCCGACCCCTCTTCGAGCAGTAACGACGATTACAGATCCATGAAAGTTGAACAGCGGTAAATCGTCAACACTACGTATCGGAAGGACGAGGATAGTAGGGTTCAGTATGGGTAGGGTTGGGGAGCATGTCGAGGATAGGATTGTATTGGCCTACGTGATTTACTATGCCCTATGTAGCTACCTCCAACTCTCTCTATCCTACTTAGCAGCATGGCGCAGTGGTAGCGCGCGGGGCCCATATTGACCATTCATAATGAGGCAAATATAGCTGGAACCCCGAGGTCACTTGATCGAAACAAGTTGCTGCTACTGGTGTCTCAGTATACGACTTGAATTTTTACCCTCATCGGGCATTAGGTAGTTTGCGTGACACGGGTAGCGTGCGAAAAGCATTGCGTCACACGAACCGTTCGATATTTTTCATGATTTTGCGTTGCGTGCGGCCACCACGACCTAAAAAATTCATGTTCATCTTCCATTGAAAATCATGATGACCCAACAGTATACAGTGCAGAGAGATATAAAATTGCTCGTACCACACCGAAATCCTTTTCTTTCTCGCTAACTTCACCATAGATGCCCGCTCAACACAACCTCGGCACGAACGATACGCTGGCTGATGACGTCAAGGTCAAAGTCTTGTCAGTCTGCAGCCCCTCCTGGTCGGTCTAGCGACAAATCGTTGTATATTTGATGGCTGAGAGCCTAAAATACTTTGCTTTGAGGGCATTTGAATCAGGAGTATTGCTGCAGGATTAGAGGAACTGAGTGAGTTTCAAGATGGTCTCACGCAACGCAAAATCATGCAAAATATCGAACGGTTCGTGTGACGCAATGCTTTTCGCACGCTACCCGTGTCACGCAAACTACACGGCCAGGAATGAATTAGGCGTTCCGTATAAGCCCTGTAAAATATGCCGAGCATATTGCTGAGATATGTGGGCGACGTATCCACGATATGGTGGCCATATCTTGGTTCCTGGGTCACGTCACGCATGAGAATGTCACTTGTGACCTATGAAGGTCGTTGTCGTCGTTGTCGTTGTCACCGCCGCCGCTGCTGGACCACTGGTCGACCTGAATTTTGAGCTGCTTGTATTTTTGATCAAAGACTATATTCAGACTATTTGGGTACATGCGTGGTGGTAGGGTACTTGTAAATTAAGAAAATATGTTTAGCCAAATTCCAATCCTCCCCCAGCTCGCCGGCGACCTGACCCTTCATCAATCCACCGACAACTGTCCTTGATGTTGCATGCAACTTGGGCTTGGCTGTGGTTAGGTATTATCAGCAGGAACCATGATATGAGAGTGCAGAGTAGGAACTTACCTTGATGAACCAGAAAGGGCCTTATAGAATTTTCACCGAGTCCGAGCGGCGAACATGAGAGTTGGAAGGAAAGTGGGCAAACAGCCGTGACACGTATCGAGGCTTCGCAATGTTTGTGTCTCTTTGTTCCATGTTGAACTTCGCTTGCCTGTCAGGCGCAGCCGCTTCTGACTTGTCCTTTGCCTCTGACCCGCATGTTCATTCTCTATCTCTCAACGCTCTTCTCACTCTCTTGAGTAAGTTTCCGCTGTATGCCATACTACATCCCCGAATTGCTGACAAGCTCCTTAATAGTGCTGCATACCAAATCGGGGACAGTTGTCGGTGGATTGATGAAGGGTCAGGTCGCCGGCGAGCTGGGGGAGGATTGGAATTTGGCTAAACATATTTTCTTAATTTACAAGTACCCTACCACCGTGCATGTACCCAAATAGTCTGAACATAGTCTTTGATCAAAAATACAAGCAGCTCAAAATTCAGGTCGACCAGTGGTCCAGCAGCGGCGGTGGTGACAACGACAACGACGACAACGACCTTCATAGGTCACAAGTGACATTCTCATGCGTGACGTGACCCAGGAACCAAGATATGGCCACCATATCGTGGATACGTCGCCCACATATCTCGGCAATATGCTCGGCATATTTTACAGGGCTTATACGGAACGCCTAATTCATTCCTGGCCGTGTACCTATTGATACTTAGCACGCTTCATCATCATGTGCCGACTTATACGGAACTAGTCCTGCGACAGTTTTTTTATGGCGATGATCGCCACAGCCATGTTCAGTCAGACTCACCAGTCATTCGCCAGTGGCATAGCGACCCACCGAATTCTACCATGCAGACCAAGAAATTTCTTACCAATTATCATCATCAACTTCAATCATTACATGTCTCTTTGTCGGAACTTTCGCTTTCCTCAGAATTCTGGCACTGAAAGTAGGCAAACCCTTTCCCAGATCTAGGACATCGCGACCCATCTGAAACGGAGCCGCGTTTTGGAGGAGAATGGCGGTGGACTTGATGGAGTATGGGACAGACTCAGGACGTTTCGAACGCTAAAAGGGCAGGTTTCCGTGTTTACAAACAGTATTGGGGCCCAGGGGATCGTGATTAGAAGGCTGTGGTCAACGAGGCTGAGGCCAGGGAAGTTGGGATGCCTTGTGATGCTGACTTGGTGAAAACAATGAGCGTTTTTTTCTCTCTTCTTTTCGTTCAAGGGAATGGGTTTGGATCCCCGACGCCCTCGCAATGGTCGCGGAAGCCAAGGTCCCTCCAAATTTAACGATTCTTTCCAAGACACGCATTGCATTGGACTTTCTTCGTCGATTGGGGAGCACTAACCGCTCGTGTGAAACTATTTCGCTACAGCATCGTTACAGGTTCACTGTGCATCACCATCAGTACGATCAGGTATGATCTTGTAAAAATAGGCTTCTTGTACCTTTCTATATTCTTGGATGCCGGTGAGTAGTTATAAATGACCTGGTCAGCGACCTTGGATTGTCATCCAGACCTTCCGTTACCTATCTACTCGTCCTTCGGGTTTCTCGATGTCCTCCAATGACGAATTCGATCTGGCACCTTACCTCAAAGTCGATCAAATCGTCACTCGACCGGTTTCTACCCTCACGGTGAGTTTCTTTGATCCGGCAAACGTTTTGACCATACCTGATCCTCACATGCGCATCGCATACTAAGGTACTGTTTTTCCTATATGGTTCGTGGGGGCCCTCTTCTTCTCGGGAGACTCACTTGTTGAGCTGCGACTCCGCAGGCATTCACGTTGTGATATCTGGGTTGGCCATTCACGTTCTGCTAGTACGCCGTGATGGTCGTGGTGCCAGTGCATCCAAACTGTATCTGCCGTGCACCATAGCTCTCCTTGTGCTCATAACTGTCTACGCCGGCTTGAATGCTTGGGAATACTCCCGTGAAGCAAGTATCCAGTTTGGTGCTGCGTCAACCAAGGATTACGGCCCATTCCGAACGTTTCTGTTCGGAGATTTTGGGAAGATTGCTTGGAGGTGAGTACACCATGATTGGTCCAGCCGATACCTGACCGCTCGTCACCATTGTAATGCCATTTCTTAAACAGTACGACGGTCTCTATGATTTCGAACTTTATGAAGTACATATGCACTCTTGAACCCCTCGAATCACCGCTCACTAACCTCCCGCTCCCACAGTGTAATTGCCGATACGATGCTGGTTTGTCGTCGACTTTGGGGTCTTGCTTCTAGGGAGACTTAATGTTTCCTCCAGATCCACCGTTGCTATGTCATTTGGAACTCCAACAAACTCGTCCTTTGTCCACTTGTCTTTATTGCCTTTGTTTTGAACGGTAGCCCCTCTTCGAATATTCTACACCCTTCAAAACTCTGGTGCTGATACCATCCCTAGGTATAGATCTGGCATGCATCGTCGCAGATGCTGTTGGACTTAGTAACCCTTCAGGGGGAATCATCACGGCGAAAGCCTTTTCAATCGACCACGCAACATTGGTAGCCATCGCCTTTTTCCAGCTGGTGTTGGCGTTCATGACAGGTACGTACAACTAAGAATACCCGTTGAATCAGTTCAGAACGGTGTATCGGAAATCATCACATCTAGGGGGCCGAATTTGGTGGATTACCCGTCGAGCACAAAAGTTAACGGGCCAGTCAGCGAATACGACGTACACGACTATCGTGTCTATCATGTGTGCTTTGTTTCACGACACAACCTCAATATCTTCTGTACTCACCCAGAGAACGTTAGACTCGAGTCTGGATTTCTATACGCAGCCACCCTGATCGGCTATGCGATTTACGAATTCTTATCGCAAGGTGCTACAAATGGACTGGTACCCTTCGATCCCACCATTGCGGTGGTTCCAATGTCTGTAAGTTACCTTCACAAAGCTTCCCAGCCAGAACCCGACCTTCTCATTCCGTTCCAATGTTCAGGGCCTCGCTCCTACGTTGGTTATCGTCCGAGTGGCGTACCACAAATCTGTGGACAGTGTCCAGCAGATGATGACGACGTTACAGTTCGCTGAAGGACGGGAGGACGAGCAACAGTCTGAGTCAACTGCCGCCGGACAGACTCCCGTTGATATACGAGGTGGTATTCGTGTCAGGGTAGATCACGATTCTTCTCCGTCGTCGCGGAAGAGAAGCCAGTGGAAGTTTGATACAACGATCCATGTTGTATTCGAGGTGCCCGGATTCGTGCTACAAATTTTGGTGTACGCCCTTCAACCCCACGACCGGCTTTATGGTCTCTGTTTCTTCCATACCCGTTCTCACTCTCATCCTCGTAATCGTATGGCATTGGGTGGCTCGGCTCGTTTGCCTATTTTCGCGTGTAGGGTGATCTAGAATCATTGAATTTGTTCCCACTGGGTTCGGCTCAGGAGTCAGCGCTCAGACTGCCAGAACCTGACCATACCACTCACCCGCATCTACTGTATACATCATCTTCTGATAGAGCTCCATTCATGTGCGAGACGTGTCGAGTATGAACTCCGTGTCAGCGTTCTGAGTTTGGAGGAAAATGTGCTGAAACGACTATGAATCCGGTGTCCTGGTGCATCAAGAAGGGAGCCGGTGTCGATCCGAGTCGCGAGCTACGGCCCCTGAGATACAAGACCGCGAGAGTACGATGTACGGGAGAGTTGTTGGAGTAGAGCTCGATTTCACATCCCGTTCGGACGAAAGATGATCTTCCATTGAATACACTCGTGATCAGTGTTCGATTTCGGGTTTCTCTTGCCGAGGTTAATGGGAAAACGTCGACGGAGCTAGTTCTTGTTACGGGAATTTTGCTGTTTCGGAGTGGATGTAGCTGGATGTAATCGCCTGTACATGTAGGCCCGTTCGTCGAATCAGTAAAACTCGCGAAAATCCCTCTAATCTCAACGCACCTTCGACCTCGAACCCGAATCACGCCTCTTTCTCCATCCTTTGACCTGAATTGAGACCCAGATTGCCCT